TCAGCAGTAAGACCACTCAATGTGGAACAAGCAGACAACGTCAGAAAAGCCGTTAATGATATCCTTACAGCCTTAAAGAAGACAACTCGATCATGATCCACGGATGAGGGTCGTGCTAGCGTATGCCTCGATACTGACAAATATCATGCTAAGATGTCAGCGCTGATCGGGACCGGACCATACACGCTCATTAAGAAATATCCCACCGACCGTCTGACCCGCAAATTGTCTGAGAAGCTGCTCTCCTTAAAGAGGAACGGGCACATATCAGAGGCTGTTTACGACAAGATCAGACCGCAACGCAAATAACCACCCAGGATCTATGGTTTACCTAAGATCCACAAGGCTAACGTACAGACGAGGCCTATTGCGTCTTGCGTAAACACCTTTGCATATAACTTGTCTGCTTTCTTAGCTGACATTCTATTTCCCCTAAGAGGAAATTCAGATTTCACGGTGACCAACTCAGCTCACTTCTCTTCCACCGTCAGCAGGGAGAAGATTCAGAACACAAGATCATGGTGTCCTTCGACGTGAAGTCACTGTTCAGCTAAGTCTCCATCGAGGGCGTTGTAGAAGCCGCACGACGAAAGTTCGAGTGTGACCCAAGCCTTGCAGACCGCACGACGCTAACACCTGCTCAGATTGTGGACCTCTTAGACTTCGTATTTTGATCCACATACTTCCAGTATAACGGTTCGATCTACGAACAGCGAGAGGGTACAGCCATGGGGAGCCCGGTTTCCGCGGTTATTGCTAACCTCTACATGGAGGTATTTGAAGAATAAGCGAGAGAATCCACAGCATAGAAACCCAAGATCTGGAAGCGCTACGTTGATGACACCTTCGCAATCTTGAATCGCAATTATGTCCATTGTTTCCTACAGCATCTCAAAAGTCAGCAACCTACCATCCGATTCACCATGAATACTGAGAAAGACAACAAGACCGCCTTTCTCGACACGTCAGGTAAGAAGAAACCAGACAGACACTTGACCACCAGTGTCAACAGAGAACCAACTCACACTGATCAGTACTTAGCGTATGATTCAGACCATCTTGAATCAGTAAAGCACGGTAATGTTAGGTGTTTGTTTGACCGGGCGAAGCGTCTCGTGACAAAATCATCAGTCATCTCCGAGGAAAAGAAACATTTGTCATCAGTTCTTGTTTCCAACGGTTATCCCTCCTCCTTTGAACAGAAGGTCACAAAAACAAGAAACTGCTCCCTAAGCAGAGAGCATGTGACGCAGTTCAAGTCCACAGCGGTTTTGCCCTATGTAAAAGGTGTATCAGAGCCTCTTCGCCGTTGCTTAAAACAACAAGGCGTCCACGCAGACTTCAGGTCCGGCACGACAATCAGATCGCATTTATTATGACTAAAGGACACTGTCAATCCGGATTGACGAGACAGCGTGGTTTACAGGATTCCCTGTGAATGCAGCAAAATCTACATCGGTGAAACGCGAAGACTTATGCAAGAGAGATGAAGGTTAGGGCAAAGAAACCTTCCAGCAGGCAATTAAAGGTTCAAACAGCTGATCTATTCATTTCCTATGGTAAACAATACTCCAGAGAAAATTTGGTCAAAATTGGTGTGTTCACAATTATTCCAAAAGCTCGCATGGGATATGAAATTATAAAAATAAACAGTCATCAGGGGCTATAATTATCAAGCCATCAAGCACACGAGGAAATTTTATTTCTTATACTAAGACTTGGAAATATTTCTTAACCAGTCACAAATATTGGGTGGAAAATGTTCCATTTACGGTAAACGCATGTATCATGTCATGTGTGTGGTCCATGGTAAACGAAGTAAAGACTATGGAATAGCAATAATCGGGGTAGCGTTATTAATGATGGTGACTGGGGTGATACGAGTCCTGTTTTGGATTAATTATATGAGCAACTCAAAAGAATGGAATGACCGTGACGTGCTTTGATAATAAGGAGTACGATTACAGAGCAAATTGGATCATCTCAAATTTTGACAAAAACAAATTTACCCATGTGGGAATGGGCTTATAATTCTTACTTTCAAACTCAAGAAACCGTAGATATAAGTTAACAATTGGAAGCGCTCAGGAAAGTCGATCAGAGATAACTTCGCTTCAACGTCAAGTAAAGAATATAGACATTGTTCCATATCACTCCCATAGGAGGACATTTCAAAGGACATCAATCATCCTAAAATTTAACCCAGCCATCTATTGACCTTTCTCACTTGGAAGTCAAGTTGAGTCTCCAGGGATAAAAGTTAAGCTTTGATCCAATACATAAAGAGTTGCGCAAAAAGAGTTAATATATGCAAAAAAAAACTTTCTGTCCGAAAGGACTTCTCTAATTGCTCCCTACGTGAGTGATCAAGTACAAAGCAAACTTTTTGACCTGAGACTTCATGGAGTCTTCAAGGCGGAATCTACAAAAGATACTTATCAAGCATGCCTTTCTAGAAGGTGAAGGGAAAGCGTTGTTTTAGATTGGCATTGTTCAGTGTAATCTAGATCTCTACCGTTAGTTTTCTATTATATAATGAGTTAATTGGTTCTAGCACTAATCTTTGCCTACTTTGATCGTTTTTATCCGAGGTGCACATTGATTAAACAAAACCTCTCATTTGAGCTTATTTTGTTTACCATTATTTTTATCTTGACATGTAAACAACCTAGTTAACTTTATTTTTCTGGGGAGCAAAAAGTATGTGTACACTTCATTCGAATGGAGTGCATAACTACAGTCAAAGAAAACAGTCCTCCTAGTGGTCCTTGTTAATACTAAATTGCAATCACGTAACCATAATACTAAACTGTTAAATTAATCAAATAGTTAAAATATTTTATCACTTCCGAAGCTGCCAGGTGTGATTTTTCTCAAGATAAAGTCACAGTAACTTGTTTTTATCTATGCTCAGTCGAAAAGCAGACTTGATCATAAACGTGGTTCCACAGTTTAACAGTATTACCAAACGGACATTCGCTTCATATTATTGGTACGTGGAATAGGAAGACGATAGGATAACTTAAACCAAGTATTATATGGCTTATGGTACTCCAAGGTTAGCAAATTCTTAGTCAGGTAATCAAGTTTATGTCCATCCACGAAGCTGTACGCACCTAACTTCGCATTGGAGTGTATAACTCACCTTATCACTAACCTTATCGAAGCAGTAGGTGTTTCAAAGAGACTTAGTGTTCAGTTCAGTGTTCAGGAGGAATTAAAAGGATTTATTGAAGGATCTAATTGATTTTTGCGCTGAATCGTTGTTGGTTTAACTGTTCTGTCGGGAGCTAAAAGGAAAGGATATAGGTCACCTTTTCTCCACATGCTTAATCTCAAATCTGAAGGCTTGCAAAAGCTTGGTAATATTTAAAAGAAATAAAACTATTTCTTGCTATTTTAACGTTGACCAAAGTTGAACACACGTCGGTTTATGAAACATATTTCTCCACAATGTAACCGATAGGTTTCGAGCTAGAACGAAGACTCAATGATATTTCAGATATAGGCCAGTTCTCAACATCTACCTTAAATTTCATGTGGTAAATGATACCGAACAACTCAATACTACGGTGTTCATATTGGCAGATGAAGAGTGACTTCGAGTACTTCCATCTATCAATGTGAATCTTAAATCTTTACATAGGGCCGAAAGAATATGAAGGTTCACAACTAGTGAGGATTACATGAACGTTTGTGGCTGTAGAGTTTCGTTGAAATTAAACGTTAACAGAAAGGAAACGGATAGAATACTGATCATATCTTTCGCATGTTGTCCAGAAGTTTAGTCTCCCAATGCGAAGGCTTCCCAAAGCTTAATAACATCAAGAAGATGTTAAACTTTTCCTTTCTATGAGAGCATTGGCCAAACTTGAACACTGTTAGCTTATGGCAAACCTTGCCTTTGTGAAACCGTGAGATCTCAAGTTAAAGCTGAGAATGAACAATATTTTTCTTGAACCCCTTGCTTTGTTTATCTACGTCAACCCTTCATATTTCTCCTGGCAGGTCAGTTGAACTAGTATTGCTCTAGAGAATCGTTGCAGGCGAACATTTATAGAAAAGAAATAGAATACTAATCTTATCTTTTATTTGCTTTACGTTTAATTTCAAAATGGGAAGGTTTGACAAGGCTTAGAAACATTTAGAAGAAACAAAACTACTGCATTGCACTTTTTATTAATGTTGCAAACTTGAACATGTGTCAGCTTATGGCAAATCTTGCTCCCGTAAGTAGAAGAAAAGCCACAGATTGTTTATTAGTGCGGGTAACACCTCACAAGTTTCTCCCTAGATGAAATGTTGGTGAAATGAGTTTTTTTAAATGAATTAAGTTCTCAGTATGAACCGTAATTTTATATTGAACAAATACAGGATTACTCAAGATTACAACGATCCGCGTAGAGAGTGACTATTATCTTTCAAAATTTAATCATGAATCTTTTGATAGACTACACAATGATTAGGGAAGAGAAATGTAAAACCTTCTGACGACAAAACCTTAAGCATAAAAGGAAATGAAAACTATACAGAGTTTCTGTCAGGAAGAATATTCTACGTCTGATTGTTTACTCTCGCCTAGAAAGTTTTGTGAGTAGAAGTGAAGTGAAGCTAGTATCAAATCAATTAAACGTGCGAAGAAAGTGAATTATGCCTATTTTGTAAGTATAATCAACTAGCAATGGTGTAAGAAACTCTCTTTACAAAGGCAGACACTCATATAAAATGATTAAAATAGCACCGAACTGTTCTGATACATTTACTATGCACATACATCTTATGTACATCATATGCCATAAGATATAAATGGAATTTGTTTTCGTGTGCGTGGAAGAGCGTGTTACATTGTTACTATGAAGCAGTAATAACAATATTACAATTTACTTCTACCTCAACTACCATCACTACTAATCAATTCCTTACGAGTGGAAAAGAGACTAGAGAGTGATAGTTTAAAGGAAAGATTAATTAAGCCACTGTTTGCTTATCAAGATACATACCTTCGTTGGATCGATCGATCCTGAACTTCGAACGCTTTGAACCTTGGTGTCAGCCTTTGCTTTACGGTGGGAAGCAGGAAGATGAAGAGAAAGCTGTATATTTGTGGCTAGATCTTGAGAAAGGCTGTAATGATTAGGAAGATACTGTCGTTACGGGTGCTAATGGTCAACGTCGTTCTGCAAAGCACAAGAGGGGCCTTTAGCAGTTAGGACTGCAACACTAAAGAAGACGTCGATTTAAAAAATGAATAAAGATTTTTAGTCGGAATCTCGGGAATTACTGGATTTTTTTAGTCGGAATCTCGCGAATTACTGGATGTGCTTACTATCTCTTAAGGCGCCGCAAGTCCACCTCAGCACTACGTATGAGAGCGGCGTGGAGTACTAAATGGAAACTTATTTGCTGTCGGGTTACGCAAATTTTGAAATTTGGATGATTTGGATGATTTTGCGTTACTTTGCAGAGGACAGCAAGGCTCAGTTCCAACGTCGAGCTCAACATGTGTCAAACCCGATACCAATTTGGGTCGACTTAATTAAGTTCGGCAAAAAATTTACACAGTTTTAAGACGTACGTGCCGAGTTATTGTTCTGCTCATCAGATTTCTTGTTTTACCACGTCCAAGTTGCCCACTCTTCACTGTTAATTTTTACGTAAGATAACATATAGTGGAACGTACCTTCAGTCAAACAAGATCGCATCAGAGAAGTCAATTTTAAGCTTTGGTTTCACTTCGCCTTTGCTTCGTCATTCTTTCCTTTATAGGATGCAGCCGTAAGGCTTCCCCCGGGAATCCGACACTACTGAGTCGCGTTCTGTGACGTCACCCTTTTGTCGATTCTTTCGTGAATCCTGATTGGCTAGAGTTAGTAATTTATTAACAAACGAACAACGGACAAGATAGTGAACCAGGCCTGATAGTGAACAAAGGGGGTAAGTTTCTAAGGAAACTGTGGTGAAAGTAACAATGGAATTTGGTTTTATCAACTGAATTAATCACGTAAATTGGCCACCGTAAAGAGTTTAAAGGCTGACGTTCCGACGGTTAGCCCCTCATCCATCGCTCTGACGATGGGCCAACGCTCGATACGTCAGCCTTTAAACTCTCTAAGGTGTCCAATTTACGTGATTAACCCAGTTGATGATACCAAATTAAGATGGTGAACAGATTGCTTTCATGGTCGACTTTTCAGTCAACAGCGATCTACGACGAGGTTTTATGGCAAGTTTGCGCGACTTTTGGATAGAGACATTTCAAGAAGAACAGCAGAAAGCCATAGATATGTTTTTCGAAGGTAACGAAGTCTCCGTTTCGTTACCAACTGGCTATATGGAAAATATTTTATATATCAAGGAGAGCCAGTGATCGATCGCCTCTCTTCTCTAGAGGAAGCCGGTCACTATATTTATTGTGATGCCTGTTAAAGCTCTCATGGAAGACCAGGGAACGGCTTCACGAAGGCTTCAGTGACATATAATAAACGCCGCATCTGAAACGCTTGTAATTTACTATCTGGGTTTCGTCGAGTAAATAGGGAAAAATCAACTCAAATCCAAGAACAAAAGTGGCTGTGCACTCGGCCGCCTGTGGCTGAATACTTTTATATGTAACGGCAGGCGGCCCAAGCTCCAGCTGTGAGATTGTCATCTTGATAAATAAAAGTCGTGGCGAAATCACGAGTTTGTATGGGAATATTTACGACCGCTCTTAGGAATAAAAATACAGTCCAATTCTCAATAAAAAATACCACACCTTACTTACTAAGTGCATCGCTTGTCATCTGACCGCTTACTACGTTGAAAAGAACCCATTTTAACGAGTTATTCATTTCTAGCAGGTAATTTAGTGTTGACAACTGGGTTGAAAACGTAAATTAGCCACCGTAAAGGGTAAAAAAGCTGACGTTTCGAGCGTTAGCCCTTCGTCAGAGTGATAGACGAAGGGGCTGGGCTAACGCTCGAAACGTCAGCTTTTTTACCCTTTACGGTGGCTAAATTACGTTTTCAACCCAGTTGTCAACGCTAAATTACCTGCTATACTCTCCCACCGACGCAGCATAACAGTTTCTTTAGAAACTTACCCCTTCATGCATTTCTAGGTTTACTACATAAGAAAGGCCCTCTCACCAGAGGCTTCGGCCGCCTGTGGCTGAATACTTTTATCTGTAACGACGGGCGGCCTAAGCTCCAGCTGTGAGATTGCCATCTTGCTAAATAACAGGGCGTGATGAAATTATAAGTTCGTCTGAGAATATTTACGACCGCTCTCAGGAATAAAAAAACACAGTCAAATTCTCAATAAAATACCTCACCTCCACAGTGCATCGCTTCTTATCTGACCGCTAACTATGTTCATTAAGTTCATTTTTTTTCTTAGATTTACTATTTATAATGAGGAACAGATATTTTTCATCGAAATCCACGTTCTCTTTTAAAGACGCTTAGGGGCAAAATTCAAGGAACGAATTACAGTAAATCGATGATGAGGAAAACATTGAGCTTCGAGGAACAGATAATGTCCAAAGGCAAATATACGAGCAGCATTTTCGCGCAAAATAGGGGCTATTGAGTTGCGATACGCGTGAAAAGGTATTTACGCACAGCTTACAGTTTTCTGCGTAGGATATTTCCTTTTGAGTGCTTTCTGGTACGACTTAATGAACAAACAAATGTATCCCTTCTGTAACAACCATAAACGCTCTCTCATCTTGAATTAAATTTTAAACAAAGACTTAGTAGAAGTAAGGTTGGAAAATTGGCAAGTATCCTCGGATATCCCCCATTTTTTAGTTGAGGAATATTCGTGAATGTGATGCGTTTAGACCAGTCGCGTGCGAGCGATGATGGATCATAATCGAGGATGTAACCCCAAGTGATATTCCCTAATTTTCAAGCTCTTCGTCCATTACGATAAGTCTCCGTTTTGAGAACGTTTTGTCTTTGTTAAGAAAGAGTTAATTAACATGCTTGTTTGTTCATGAAATCGTACCAAAGAACACTTAGAAGTTAACATTTGACGCAGTGAACGGTTGACTGTTCGTAAAAATTTTGTTCCTGTAATTTGCAAAAATATTTGAAGGATTATAAAAAAAATAGCCTTCATTTTGTGTGAAAATATGCTCGTTCGTTCACACCTTAAGGACGAGATCATTCATGTTTACGGGAAACCTTTGAAAGTACAGGAGTCGCACACTCGCCGCCAATATTCATGCAAATTACCACTTTGACGTCTCTAAAAGCGGGATTGGGGAATGAGGAATCGTAAATTGAAAATAAGAAATTAATCTTTTTCTGAAATTTCATGTTTTTCAGTTCAGAAGATACACCAAATAACGGACCACTCATTAGTTCTCGACAATGAGAAATTTAATCATGCATTAATTGAAAGAATACACTTGAGCAACAATGAACAATGTGATGTGCAATACTGTAACAGCTTTTTAAGCACTGAGTTCAAGGCCCAAATCTGTATTTACATCTTAAACCAGTTCAATAACTAAAATAAATTACGTTCGATAGAATCCTGACGCCTATGTTATTTGTACGAGTTACGATAAAGCAGTCTCGGCTACTGCCTCCCAAGACATATCTTGTTCATGTATGATCACAAAGCTTCGCCGAAATTCTCGGTCTCCGAGTGGATACTGATCGGTAACGTCCGTGACGCATCCTACTCTAGTGATTTTCATTTTGTTACATTGAAGTTGCATGCATGTCAGTGTGTGTTAAACAGTACAATGTTGCTATAAAGATAAAAGAAAAAAGTAATCATTTAAAAAAAAATCTATAGATGATTCTTTAGAAATTAAAAGTGCTGATAAAGTTAATAAATGGTGGAAAACCCTACTTTTGTTCTTCAAGTCTCAGTCCTTCTGCCCCGGCATGCCTTGCGCATCGAGCGCATAAAATTTTGCCGCTGTAATATTCTTTTCAGTTTTGAACAATTTGTTCAAATCAATAACTTAAAATCACTTTCCTCTTAAGTCATGGAGTAGTATCTGCCGTGCTTTTGTTGTGGTATTTGATCTTTCGATGTAAGTGCCACGAAAAATCCATATTCGCCTCGAGACGGCGAAGGGGAAGAAGAAAGAGAGCCAGTTGAAGATGATCCCATACTTTGTCTTTTTCGACGCATTTTTTCCAGATTTCGGACTCCAGGAAAATCGGGACCAAGTCGAAGCAACCTGGGACGGCTGTAGCTAAATCTGGCGGGATCGCGCTTTCTGTAGGAGCCTTGGTCCTGGTAAAACGCCGAAGAAGTTTCCGATGTGTCATCACTAGGATCGTAACCGAATGAGCTGTCGTCGTTTGGGTAGTCTGGAGGTTGAGCATCGACGATAAGATCTTTGAGACGTATCGATAAGTCCTCGGTACTTCGGGTAGGGCCGTTAAAGTCTTGATGAAAATTAGGCAGAGTGGCGCACGAGAGTCTGTCGTCTTCGATGTCTTCCGAAAATGTGTCAAACTCGTACGCTAATGTTGGAGGTGCAGACTTCGGACGTTCGGGTCTCTTTCGAGATCCCGAAACGACGGGGTTGTTGAGTACGCACATGCGAGATCGACGGTGAGGGATTCCGTTCGGTTCGATGTCCACCTTCCACCCGGCAATGTGTGAGCGAGGCTCGCTTGGATCAAAGTGGTGCGTGTATTGTGACACATACATCTCCTTTAGAGAACCACTTCTCGGAGAATGGCTGTGCAAAGGACAAGCACCTTCCAACTGGACCTCTTCTCGTCGAACCTGGACCGCGTCTATCGTGTCCTCGAATACTTCCGGAATGGGTTTCATCTTGACGCGGTACAAGTCCGGTATGGACAGAGTGCGTTTGTTTTGCCCAAACCCTGTGGTACCACACATCCGAAGCTCGATGCGATCTGGAAGGGGCGCCTTGGAGGCTATGAAGTAATTTCCTTCGGAAACTACAGAGATGTACTTTTTGCAAGACGGGCCTTGTGGCTGTGTGAATCCATTCATGAGGTGGGTTTTGTCGCTCTTATAGTCTTTATCCCAAGCCTCTCCTCCCCAGCTGTGGGACAATTCGACACGTTTCTCTCTCTCCCACGGGTAAGATCTTTGCGTATCACCGCGGTTTGCGTAAGCCCGCATATTTACCCTGCAGAAAAGATCACAGAGAAACAAGAACGATATCAAATAAAGGTAGTCTTTAGATTTTTATCAGACAATTGGCAACAAAAGAGAAAAGCAGAGTATTAGAAAACTTAGGCGTGTTACTGCTGTAAAAATGCCAGGAATAATAAGAATTGACATGTTTAAAAAAATGCACTTGCAATAGCGAGACGTTAACAGGGACAGTTCTCTGTACAAGAAGGAGCTAAGATAACGTTTGGGAGAAAAGAAAAAGCTTAACAAGACTGTTGATTACTTTTTAAGTGGAAAAACGGAATGTAAGCCCTGGGCTTCTTGGAATTTCAAAAAGACAAAAAGAAACGGCATGAAATCATTAAAATTGTAAAAGAAAAACAAAAGAAAAAATTCTCATAATGATAATCCGCCTCAGTCAGCAGCTAACGGTAAGAAGCCTCCAACATTTCAATATTTGTAGAAGCAATCATTTTAGTGTTATAATAATGACAATGTGATACAGAATTAAATAGTTCCACAGAACAGATCAATAATTTTCTCTAGGGTTGCACATGTTACAAGGGCCATGTTGCAAGCTACGTATTATAAGTCACTGGCGGATTGCACAATTACTCAGTAGCATAGGCGTTAAATTTGTCAAAGAGAGGAAAAAAAAACATAATTTCTCCTTTAAGAGCCATTCTCTTTCGCTACTTCGAATCCATTTTTTCAGTCAGGCTCGAGCAAACTCTTAAATTTTTACATTCCGTTAAGTACCTCGAAGTAACAGTTATATCTTGACCTCGAAAGCCCATTATCATCGTTCTTTGAAAACGTTGTCAGGTAAGATATTGTTCCTTCCTTCCAAAGTTTACGTATGAATTACGCACAGAGGTTCTCTGCCACAGCAACCTTATGCCTTCACAGACAAAGAGTCTAATACTCGCTTGGTTTTTGAAACTACGGTGAGAGAGTTTACAGAGCGACTTTTATGTCAGTTCCCACGCTCTGTGATGCGACACATGCAAATGTAGCCACACCATCATAATAGAAACTCCAGTCTTTTGTCCCACTAGACACAAAGTGATTGTAAATTTACTGAGGCATGCCAATTGCCCTCCAGAGAGTAGTTGTTGATTTCTAACGTTATTGTTTAACGGACGAGTGACTGCAAGCTGGAAGCTGAAGTTTCCAGAGAGAGCTTGTGTTCTCTGAATGCGAGTCAAACGCACGTACTTAGTGTACATTATAAAATATTGATGTATAATTTTACCTCGAGGCGATAGAAATCTTATAGGCTTTTTTTCGGTGTAGAATTTTATAAGCATGAACCTGCTCGTTCCACGCAGAAATATACGCAAATCGGAAAGTTTAAAGAATTCTCTTGTAAAATTCATAACATAACAAGAAAAAAACGAAAGTAATTAAACAAAGATTTGTTTCCCTTTTAAAGCCTCACTCCCACTTTACCAAAATGAAATGAAAAATTGAATTAACTGTGGAATAGTTCACGTTTCTGTTTTTGTTTTCAGTAACGTTGAGAGAATATGCGTACATAGATATTACTACGAAAGCTCTTTGAAGCAGCACCTTGCAAAGACTGGAACAGCTTGCATTTCATAACATCTACAGAAGACATTTTTTTTTTGTCTCATGAAGCAGTCATTCTCTCCTCTGCTCGTTCATTCATGCTCAAAAACATGTCTCTTGAATTCGATAGGGAGATGTTTATAAACCTCGTGAGTTAAAACGAAATCAGAAACAATGAATTTCTCAAAAGAGCTCTCGATTCAGTTTGATACGTGGTTTCCATACTGCTTATCGTCGACTTCTTTGCCAAATAAGTATTTACTAAAGGAAGATAGCGCGGCCAGTTTTGCGTTTCTGTCGCTTGTAAGTATTTAAGACAGAAAAACACATTAAACTAACTTGAAAGACAACGATGAACTTACCTTACAAGAGCGAACTGTCGCAATAATATATCCAAATTAATTGTATTCTGCCTCTTTTGGCTCAAAGCTGTTTACATAACACGTTGGTGTTTATAGCAGGTACTTTTGGAACTGTTTAAGCGGCAATTAATATCTTTCCAAAATTATTCAATAGAAATGCTGTCGCTACCGTCTGCGAAAAAAGCTGTTTAGGAACAAGTAAACAAACTAGAGAGACAAAGAAAACTGGAGGAGTAACTTATCAACAATTATTTTTAGATCGTATAAGAAATTTTGGTTTTTATTGTACAAAAATGACATGTGACCTTAATTTGTTTTGGGCCTAAAACTTCCCTTCGCACCCACGCACAACCCCCACCCTCACCAAACGGAAAAGGAATTAAAAAACAAACAAACTTGGATGTCCCTCGCAATCTTTTCATGCGTAACTGATTTTTATCCTTCTCTTAATTTCATGACGAGAAAATTGTCGCAAACGCGCGAGTCTCGTGCACAACATGAAACTTAATTGGCTACCTAGGGTACTATTCCCGGGACCGCAAATTTAATACGTTCTTTTAACAAAAGCGTTTGGTATTGAATAAATTAAGGCTGTTTTAGTTATTTGATGGCGAGAAGGTCGTCATCTAACCTGTGTATATTGTAAATTTGTACACACATGCTAATTGTCTTAACAAAACAGAGCAGAAGAAAGATTTCATTTGCACCAACATGTGGTTCTCTTGGCAGGCACTGAACCCATTTTCAAACAATGTCTTTTCATAGGATTTTTATGCGGTATGTTGAGGAAACGATTTGCGGTTTTGATCACTAAACGTTCCCTATCATTTCACAGTGGCATACTTTCTATTGTTTCTCTGGTTTAAGAGTTACTTGAAGAAAAGAAATCACAAAAAAACTTTTCTATTTGGAAAAATCAGTACTATTTAAGTCCATAGTTGAAAAACAACAAAGAAAATACATGATTTTTATTCGGGATCGCGGTTCTTTCGTGGCTTAGTACTGATACACGCTTTGCGATGGACAATATCCTAAAGAGCTCAGCCAGGATCCTTTTAAGTGATTAGACGTCACGTTTCAGTGATTAAAAAGCCGCCTACACTTATGCACATTTTTTTTTCGAAAAGTTCCTTCCAATGTTCGTACACAGTTACATACTAACGGGAAAGCATTTAGTTAACTACTACAGGCTTTTGGAAAGGGGACCCTTGGGTCAGATAATTGAGCCTATAAACTAACAGGACTATAATTACTTCTATTGTGAGCATGATCCAATTCTGCGAAGACTCAATAAAGAGGCTCGTGTTATTGCTTGGATACGAAAGACTTTTAAGCCCGAAATAGTCGACATTTTTCATTCTCAATATTTGCTTTTGACGTCTTCTACCGCGTAAATGTCACAGCACGCACCTTGTGCACTGAGGGTATACAAAAGGATTGTACCTCGGGTTCTTGAGTTCGACAGGAACTTCAGAGAAAAAATTAATTTAGACATCTGTTGTTTTTTGTTTCATATGCAAATTGCATCGATTGGAAAAAGGAATATTTTATCCACAAACTCATTTTCAACTTTAAGATTCTATTCCATTCGATTATTAAGGTCCTCAACAAAACGAAGAAGTGGATGTGATATTACAGATCGAGTAAAACGCATGAGCAAATCTTGCATTAAGCAGGACGTTTTTTAAACCTCAGTAGCAAAGTGGGTATGAATTAATCTTGTGAAGAACGCAAATGCATGGGTCATTTAAACGTGTTGAGACTAGCGAATGTAAAGCTAACACAACAAAATACAACGAAACCTGACTTTTATGGTAACAACAACCACAATATGAAAATAATGGCTGGAAATTAAATGCAAAATCTTGTTAGGGAGCGCTCTTTTGTTGCGCAGTCTTGTAGAACTCGATCATTACCCGAATTTTCCATCGATGACTTTAGCAATTAAGTAAAGCCTCGAGCAACGCATTAATACATTTTAAAGGCTAATTCTGTATGGTGTCTGCGTAAAAATTATACTTTTCTCCTAACCAACGATATTAAGGACACTGGAACAAGATAAGAAATTCCATACCCTTGATGAAAACCATTTTAAGATCAATTCACAGACACTATTTATTCTGTTCTACAAATAATCTGCACACTTTTTATAAAAGCAAAAAGCCAAACCCACATTGTGATTTAGACACTAAACGTCAACGTCAACTGAATCTGTCCAAATTACTTTACGTCGACAATAACCTTATGCCGTCGCAGTATTATATTCCTTTGAACTCTTGTAAGAGGTTAAAAATTCGAGAAACGCAATGGTATTATATCGACCGTCGCTAAATCGAGTGGTCTCGGCGACGCTCGTAGAACACGCTAGAGATCTTTTGTCTTCTGGAAGAAAGCGTGTAAAGCTAGACGGGAGCCGAATAAGACTTTGGTATATTTACAACCTGCAAACTTCTAATGTTCGATTATCGTTTCAATTTTGAATCTCGCATTCCTGAAAAAATAAGACTGTGTACATGCAACAGTTCCGAAGTAGTTGACCCCGATTTAGGGAACATAAAACTCCTGGAACAGTCCGATTTTAAATATTCTTAATCAAAAATTAAATTGAACGGTTTGTGAGGCGGGAATATAGCAATTGCGAAAGACTGAAATACGAGAATTTCCTTATGATCTGGCAAGAGAGAAGAGAGAACTACTCAAAGAAATATATCGTCGACGACTCTGTAATTTCAGGACTGCTAAACGTTGTACTCACCCCTTGTAATCTTGTCAAAAATAAATACCAGTCGAGAATCTCGTTGATAGAGGCTCTGATCGTACGATCCAAACTCGCGAAACGCTGTTATGAGGGTAAAAAAGACGAATTGATTCACGACGATTTTGTAATGGTTTGACTCGGCACCTCGGACCGAGTTTCAAAATGCACTAGCCGAGTGCATTCAAAACAAGAATCGCCCACGAAATATATTCAAACGACGAAAGAAATGTAAATTGCTTTTCTTCACAGCTAATCAAAACACTCTTTTGTCGTCAAAACGTGTCACGTCGAGAGCACCTGATTGGTTGATCCCAAGAGGTCAAAACAAGTTGGCTGATTGAAGAGTGCGAACGATTTCGCGCTGTTGTAATGTTTTTGTTGCGTAATCTTATTTTTCTGCCACAAGGTTTTATTTTTTTAGTGGAATATTATGCTTTTGTTGCGATTTCTGTTCAAGACATGATCAAAGCAAGTTCAACTGGTTAACAGAAATGTAAGAAAAGTGAAAATAATTTTATGTATCGCTATTTTCTCTTTTTGAAAATTCACTTGTCGGAAATAAACCCTTTGAAAACGACACTGATCCTTCTTTTTGAGCGTTACATTCATTGCTTGAATAGTTTTCAGGTCACGAGGCTCTCACATTCAACACCCTTTAAGAGCTTTTTCACACGATACAGATAAGATACCCTGCAAAACAATGAACACTAAACACTTTAAATTGTACTGATTACAATTATTGAAGGTAATTTCTGCGATAACAGAACGATTAGTCCATCCATATACAGAATGTTCCGGAGTGGGATGGAGCCTTAACATATCAACAGTTCCATGAAGGGCTGGTTTTCGTCTTCAATACTTTTTATTTCCCTCAAGGAAACGCACAATTTGATCCCTCAACCTGTCAACAGGTACAAGAAACGTAAATTCTAGAGATGGTTCTGTTGCATTTGACGCGAAAACAAGAGTGCGTAATGCGTAACCACTTTCGAGGGACGAAAATTATCATGCAATGGAGAGTGATTCCAGAGCCTCAGCAATCATCGTACTCCGCTCTGGAAAAAACTTAGAGGATCCGGGCAAAATGATGGAAGAAATTTACAATCAGATCAGCATTTTTAAAATTGCTCAGATATGGAATAATTTCAGCAAAAAGGACCGCAAAAATTCATGGCAATAAAACGTAAAATGAATGATTATAAACCTTTTTTTTTTTTTATTAGGATGAATAGACACTTGGTTAGTCTGTTCATAACGAAACTGTTTAAATCGTTATTTTATTTTGCATTTTTCTCTTTGACTGGTTAAGCCAAAAGATAATCTTCTTTAGGACCAGTGCTCAGCAAACTTGCTATGGTTTATAAACTGAATGTTGGGTAAATGAAAATATTTTTTGCACCGTACGAGATTTCTTATCGCAGTTCTAAGAAATTATGTGACAGAATCACGTATTTCTTGTTGACATGGTGTTTATTTTGGCTGGAAAGAACTCACAGTTCCAACACTTCTTATTCCTGGCTAGTAAATAACTTCACTTTAGAGTTTCAGCCTGACAACTGGTTGAGACAAGGTTGGACAGATCACGAACAGTTTGTCACCTTTCAACCTAAGAGACTGGGAACAAAGATTACTTTATGAAATGAATTTTTCATTTCATATTTCCATCTGCCAAGACTAACAAACCACATGGCGTTTTTCTAAGCCTACAGTCCGTTCTCACAGATAGGCTTTCATCGCTCTTCAGTTTACTAACCATTTCAGTGACATAGTGGTAGCGTGTATCGTATGTACCGCCTAACTCGGACTGTCGCCTATTTTGATAGATTAAAATCTGAATGAAACATCGTGACTACTTTAAGACATGGTTTTCCTTCCCTCTTGAAGATGTCGACCGTCTAAGCTCATCTCTCTCCTCCATGGACTTTTATTTCACATTGCTTTTGAATTTCGCTTTGATCATGAAATATTAAGACCTGACGAGCAGTACTCTTTTAGAAGGGGGAGGGAGGGGGTAGGGGAAGGGAGGGGGTGGGGGAGGGAGAGGGTAGGGGAAGGGAGGGGGTGGGGGAGGAAGAGGGTAGGGGAAGGGAGGAGGTGGGGGAGGAGGGGGTAGGGGAGGGAGGGGGTTGGGGGAGGGAGGTGGTGGGGGGAGGGAGGAGGGGTGATTAGGAGGAGTTCACTACAGAGGATTAATTCATCCAAAACAGTCAGATCAAGGATGCAGTAAGTATAGGTAATAAGATGATTTCGAATGGAATTCGGTGTAAATAAGCACGAGCATATTTTTCAAAGACAAAAAGTGCACGAGCCCGCAGGGCGAGTGTAATTTGTAGTCTTTGAAAGACAGACGAAATTTTGAAAGCACGCTGTTTGTAATTTGCACTCGTGTTCGCGTTTCAACTTTGCACTCGTGTTACAACTTTGCACTCGCGTTACAACTTTGCACTCGTGTCACTTGAGAATGCACTCGTTTTCGGCCAATCAGAAGCGCGTAATATTTCTAAGTGCACTATTACCGATAATATCACGCTGGAAGTGGAGAGAGGTTATCAGAGGCGGGGTGATCAGGTGACCGTATAAACACGTGCGCATATGCAAACCTAGAGATCATAATGTATTTTAAGATTGAGCAGCCAAAAGTCTTCACATGAATCAAAATGGTTATTTTCGTAGATTACTCCATGTCACCTTCCTGTTGGTTCATAG